CGGGGGTGCTGGCGCGCGCCGACGCCGCCTCCTGGTGCGAGTGTGACCGCGGGCGACGCGGCGGCGGTCCGCCGGGGTTCAGAGCCCTTGCAGACCTTTCACAGCGGATGTTTGCTCTGCCCCCAGGTACAGCTGCGGACCGACCGTGTACGATCACGCACACCTCGGCCATGCGTGGTGAGTTTCCTGGATTTGAGCGTTCGCGCCTTCAGGGGCCCATGAGCCCTTTCAGGTGTTTTCCTGCTCTCCGGGCGGCCTCAGGACCCTGGGCGATTAGCACTGCCGTTAGGGTTTTCTGCGGTTTTTGTAGCGGTTCTGAGCGCTTGCACGTTTATGGCTGGGGAAACTCTGGGAAAGAACCCCTGTGGAATTTGATACTTCTTCCTGGATTTGGCCAAGGCCCCGGGTTGTTTCTGGCTCCGCCATTACTACCAGTCGCTCCCTGCTCCGGAGGAGTCACTTAGTGTCTCTGCGTCCGGGTTTCTTGCCTTTGAGATGACAATCATAGTAGTACTTTTTTTTAAAATAATTTTTAAGAATTCTTTTATTAAATTTCATTTGTTTATTTGGTTATTTAAATTTGACCAGAAAGGAACAGAGTGAGAGAGAGAGAGAGAGACACGGAAAGTGAGCATGCAAACCACCAGGTCCGGGACTTGAACCGTGGTCGGCCATGTGGGAGTCCAGCGCCCTTAACCACCACGCCACCTGCTGGCTCCCGAGTAGTACTCATTTTTGAACTTTTTTTCTTTCATTATACCACACGGTCGAGTGCTCACCAGAGGTATAGAGGGAAGGAGAAAGCCGCTCACTGGCTGGCACGCTGCCGTCCTGCCTGCTGCATTTCTCAGTCCTGCAGCACTCAGTCCTGGGCTCCCTTGGCTGGGCATTTTCCTCAAGCCGTTGTGTCCAGGACTCCCGTGTGCTGAGCTGGCCATGTGGACTCCAGCTCCCTAAACCATTAGCCACGCCAATATTTTTAAGTTTATTTATTTCTTACATGATAGAGGTGGCAAGAGAGACAGACAGGCACCCCCAGCAGGGCCTCCGCATCATGATTCACCCTGTGTCAGCCAGCCAGGATCATGGCACAGGTGCTTGGGAAGGGTCGGGACTCAAAACCAGGACCTCCCCTAGGCGGGCCCAGTTGTATGGCTGCTGTGCCTGACTGAGCCCTCTTCACTGCAGCTGCAGAGTCCTACCGTAAGTGGCTGGCTGACAGGTGCCTGGAGTGTGACCACGGTGAGGGCCCGCACTTCTGAGGATATGTAGTCTCCCCCGGGGTCCTGGGGTAAGAAGCCCCAGAGCTGGGGGCGCGGCTCGGTTCACCCGACCCCAACAGTCAGGTGCTTGCTCTCTCCACTCTTAACTGTAAGATGTCCTGCCTCCTTTCCTTGTCAGAATTTCCACTTTTCTAGCTTAGCTTCATTCAGAGACTAAAAATAAAGTGTTACAATTACTTTATACCGTTTTTAAGACATAGTCTGTTGGGGCCAGCAGGTTGTATAGTAGAGATACTGGACTCCTGTGTGGTTGACCACGGTTTGAGTCCTGGACCTGGCACCTTGAAAATCCTGTTGGGTGCGTGTGTGTGCATGCCCCAAATCCCAGGAAGAGAATGAAGGAGAAGGGATTGTGGCATGGCCAACTGCTCTGGGGATGATGTCTCACTATCCTTCTCACTGTCTCTGTTCTTTCTAGCGAATGCTTGCGCCCTATGGCAAAAATCTAAAAATAAATACATAATATATCATCCAGCGAAATCTGAAACTTTTTAAGAATAATAAAATAGAATGGTCTAGAAATAATTTTTTCTTCATTTTTGGCAAACTTATGATAATTAAAAAGTATATTTTGAGAGCTGGCTCTGTGGCTTAGTGGTTAAGGGTGCCAGGTCCCATGTGGCCAGCCATGATTCAAATTCTGGCCCCTTTGGATTGAAAAACATGCTGGGCGCACGTGTGACCCAAATTCTGACAGGATGGAGGGATGGAGGAGAAGAGTTGTAGGGTGACTGCGTTCCATGGGGACTTTGCTTTTTCTGTCTCTGGCTCGTGCATGTACCCTTGGGCAGTAAATTCAAAAAAGAGAAAAGATGAACTAGCAGATGTTTTAATAGTTTTGTTGCTGGACTCCCATGTAGCCGACCATGGTTCAAGTCCTGGACCTGGCTGCTTGGAACTCAGCGCTGGGCATGCCGACCAGCATGCCCAGAATCCTGAGAGGAGAATGGAGGAGAAGGGATTGCTGCGTGGCCATCCTCACTGGGGGGTGATTTCTCGCTTTCTGTCTCTCCGTTTCTTTCTGTCTCTCTGTTTCTGGGTCTCCAGCGAGAGCGCACTCCCTATAGCAAAAATCTCTCTTAAAAATTTTTTTTTAAAGATAAAAGAGGGGGAGCAGCAGGTGGTGTGGTGGTTAAAGTACTGGACACTCCCACATGGCTGACCAAGGTTCAAGTCCCAGAACTGGCGGCTTGCTGTCTCACTTTCCCTCTCTCTTTCTCTCTCTCTGCATGTGTCTCTTTCTGGTCAAATTAAAATAAAACGAATGAATAAATAAATAATTCTTTAAAAAAACCCGAATTTACCCATAATGTGGGTGAATTATCAAAAAAAAAAAAAGAGAGAAATTGAAATTGTTATTGAAGTATAGAGTGTGTGGGGCAGACGTTGAAAACAGTCTCCCAACCCAGACAGCCTGTCCAGAGGGTAGAAGAGAAGAAACAATTTTATGGTAGAATAAGCATTAAACCAGAGTAGGGCACTCAGAAGTGACCACAAGGACAGACCGATGTCCCCCTCTTTCATAGCATCTTGCAAACACAGCCCATCTCCTCTGTGGCCCCGAGGTAGTGCGGTCCTGGAGGCTGGCCCTGCGTACTGGAGCGGGCACCGGCAGTGCAGGAGGGCTGGTGCAGTTCTGAGCCTGGGTGCTGGTAAACCTCAGGGTCACATTGTTCGATGTTCTGAAGGCCGCATGTCTTTGATCCAGCCCTGGCAGGTTGGTGAGGGCCACTGCCTGATACCAGGTCGCAGATGATACCCCTCCACAAGGGGGGGCCTCTGGGGTCCCTGTAAGGGCACTGACCCCAGTCCCGAGAGGGCTGTCCCCACGACCTGCCTGAGTGCCCGGTGTGTCAGCCCCACGCTGTCTTGTAAACTCTCCACTCCGGGAGATCTGCAGTTGGAGCTGCAGGCCGGTGAGGCCGCCACCTCCAGGATCCTGGGAAATGGGGCAGGCATTGTCTTCGGGAATTACGTTCCAGACACGGGCCCCCAGTCTTGAACATTCCGGAGCTGTGAGACAGATGAGAGACTTTAGCAGTTTTAAAGATTTCCTGCATATGTTGGAAAAGGACCCAGGAGGAAACTGGAAGAAGAGGCGAGGTGGGGCTTCTTTCCCCTTGCCTTTGAGCGGGAGCAGTCAGCCTGCGGGTTCCAGTCGCACTGCCCTGGCACCCCGACACGGATGGGAGCGGGCCATGGCTGCTCAGCGAGGTGGGTGCTACAGGCACTGAGCACACGGAACTTTCTGCGGTGGGCTGGGGTCCGTTCCCAGGAAGATGCCTAGGAAATAGGACATCTCACCTTCCCAGCAGTTGGCTGAGGTGCCAGTGCTGCTGGGGGGTAAGGGCTCATCAGGTGCAGATGGGGCGGAGGTGGGAGGAGGGTGGCAGGAGGGGTTCTGGGCCAGAAGGAGCCAGTCATGTTCCCTGGCTCCTAGAGTTTGGGTTTAACTTCAGTAGGTGCAGAAGCCTTGGGATGTTTTGAGCAGAATCTCTTAGTTGGGAGAATGTTCTTGGCACACCCACAGGGGCACCCTCACTTTGACTGGGAGAGCTGGACCGAGGGCAGGGATTCCTGGCAGGGATCACAGGCTTACAGGGGAGTCCCACGAGGAAGCTGAGGTCTCCCAGCTCAGGGTTCTGACTTCAGCTGCCCAGCGTGTGCACGGGTATGGTGCATGCGTGCATATGAGAAGCTGCTGGGGCCAGAGCCCAGCCGCAGCACTCCAGAGCCTCCAGGATTTGAGGCCCTGCAGCCCCTCTGTGTCCCTCCGCAGTTCTGGGACTCAGCCTGAGCTTCTTGGGGCCAAACTGTAACTAAACGCTTCTTTTCATTTATTTTAGTTCCTGATTATATTTGCTTTTAAATCTTAGGTCCTGTAGAGTCTTCCCCCCAACCTCCGCCCAAGACCAGTGAAAGGCACGTTCCTGGTGGTGATCGTTGTAGCTGGCCCTGCCCAGACACTGAGCTGATGCACACGGTCCTGAGGGTTAGGTGGGTTTGTGCGGTTTACAAAGAAGCACGCCAAGGCCGAGAGGTTAAATGTCTTGGGCAGGTATTTGCAAACAGAGATGGCCTTGGTCTTAGAATAAAAATCTGACCGCAGTCTGTCTGGGCTGTAAGATGAAAGTGGTACCGTAGCATGGCTAGGGGCTCGTGTCTTCGGCATGAACTCGTGTTTAGAGAGGCCACGTGGACGATAGGGATGAGCTGGTCTCTGGTTAAGGTCGCTTTTATGGGAAACTAGATTTTTGAGACTTAAAATGGATTAAAACCCTTTTGATTTTAGAAATCTGAGTTACCTCAGTGTCGTTTCGATATTCTCCAACCTCGTAGGAATTTTTAGGCGTGCTGTCACTGCGTTAATGGGGTCGTGCCTGTCGGACATGTTAGCTTCCTTCGGTGCTGTCACGGTGAAAAATTAGAATTACTCTAGAACGTGAGCAGGAACGGTGAAGGCTTTTCATGTGTATTGCCCTAGTGAGATTGGTTTATAAGTGAATTCTTTATTTTATTTTATTTTACTTAGTTTTAAATTGCTGTGGGGCATGTGTACTCACGAGAGAGAGAAAGGGAAAGTGAGAAAGCAAGCTGCCAGGTCTGGGGCACGAACCGCGGACGCCTTGTGTGAGTCTAGCACCCCGACCACCGTGCCACCGGCTGGCCCCAAGGATTACGAGTGAATTCTTGACCAGTGAAATGGATGTGAACTCACTCGAGCAAGGACTCGGAAAGTAATTGCTAATTTTGCACCCTGAAGTAGAGGGGCACGGCGGTCAGTTTCTCGTGAGGCCCCACGTGGACTGGAGCTGGGCCAGGGAGACAGGCCTTTCCCTTTTCTTGGTTGCACTTAACTGTCTTCGTGTTCACACAGATTGCGCATTTTATTTTTGAGAAATTATTTCTTCAATTTTATTTGTTATTATTTATTTTTTAATTTAACCAAAGAGACAGAGTGACAGAAGGGAAAAGTGAGAAAGCAAGCCACCAGGTCTGGGACTCAAACTGCAGTCAGCCATGTGGGAATCCAGCGCCCTTAACCACCACGCCACCTGCCAGCCCCAGGAATGCATGTTCTAACAGCCGACAGCATGACTGTGTTGAGGCACGCTGACACCTCTCTCTCAGCTCCTATGTTAGATTTGACATCATCCGGAGGGTCCTCACCAAGGTGTTCGGGTGCAACGTCGTGATGGTGATGGGTGTGACGGACGTAGATGACAAGATAATCCGGAGAGCCAGCGAGGTGAGCAGGGGAGACGCAGGGAGCGCGGGCGGTGCACAGCGCCAAGGGACATTATCGGGGCAGGCCTCGATGTCCCGGCAGGGAGCTGAGATCTCCTGCGCCGTGCTCACCGACACCTTTCAGCACCTTGCCTCGTGCTGTGGGGTGTCCTGTCCTGGGTCTCAGGCCCTGATCCCGGACGGGGGACACTCGCTCTGTGCTGACGCCTTCCGCTGTTGTGCTCTCCCCACCTTGAAGAGCGCTGTGGGGTCCCACGGCCGCCCTGCGCCCCGAGCCAGGAGGCCTCACCGTGCTTGTTTGAACACATGATCCATTTAGGATTTAAAATCTCCTCTTGTAAGAATTCTAGACCTACAGAAAAGCTACGGAACAGTACAGGGGACCGCTGCCCGCCTTTCCTGGTCTCGTCGCTGCCTTTCACTGTGCGCCCCGTCTTCTCTGATGTAGACTGTGCCCAGTTTCTGCCCCAGCTCTACACCCCCGCCCCGTGCTTCCTGGGGCGCGTCCCTCCCGCCCCACCGGCGTTGCTCCTGGACTGGCAGCAGAGTGCCTGGGTGCTGGCGAGGCAGCGGTCCGACTCGGGCGCGCCTGGCCCGTCAGCGCCTCTTGCTTCTCTGGCCCGGGGCCCTGATCAGAATCTTGCTGTCTTTACTGTCACGGCTCCCATGTCCCGCAGTCTGCGCTGCTTGGGCCCCTGTTCCCATTTCCCTTTTTATTTAGGGAGGGATCTTCGCTGTAGGGCACATGTGTCCACCAGAATTCCGAGAGGGAGGGGAAGTGAGAAGGCACCATCTGGGGGGATGGCCACGCTGCAGTCCCTTCTCTCCCATCTCCAAAAGCTTGAGAGACTCGAACTGCCGTCAGCCACGTGGGGTCCAGCACCTTCCCCAGCATGCCACCTGCTGGCCCGTTCCTGTTTCCGTGTCCTCGGTGTTCTCCAGACCGCAGGGTTTCAGCACTGGGTGAGCCTCACCTTGTGTCCCTTGGATGGTCCCTGTTTCACAGAAGAGCGGGGAGGGAATCACGTACTGGCACAGACTCGCGGAGAAGCTGTGGGCCCAGGACCGCCGCCCATGCCAGCTGTGCATAGCCTGGGTCCCTGTGGCAGGGAGAGGAGGTCTCTCCTGTTCAGGTCGAGGGCCCTTGTGGGGTCTGGCGATCTGACATGGAGATAGGACAGACCGAGTGACTAGGGCATTGAACGGAAGTCGGGAGGCCCCTGAGGGCCGAAGGCGCCCATCTGAGAGGGTGCCCGTCATTACACGAGCAGGGCTTCTTAGTCTCCAGGCCTCTGGGAGACGTTCTCACCGAGGAAACTGCGTCTTCCTGTTTTCTATAGATACGCCTTTTAATAACCAGCTCGAATGCTATGAGGCCAGCAGGGGGCTTGGTAGTTAAGGTGCTGGATCCCACATGTCCAGCTGTGGGTTTGAGTCCCAGACCTGGCCACAGGTGCACCCAAAATCTGGAGAGGACAATAGAGGAAGGATTGCAGCATCTCCCACGTGGGGTGACTTCTCACTTTTTGTCTGTCGGTCTGTCTCTCCTCTCCCTCCTTTGTCCTGGCAAGAGTACATACCCTGTAACAAATGAAAGAGAGAACATGAGGATTGTTCTGACGCAGAGTTCTGGCAGGTCCAGAGGTGCAGGCAGCCCTGTCTCTGACAGCAGCCCACCGTCGAGAACTAACCCCTGCTCGCGAGGGCTGGTCCTCACTGGGCCTTCGAGGGATGGTCATCTGCTCAGGGTACTGATGCTCCACGGTGCAGCCAGCACACCCCGCCCCCTGGCCTCCCCACCTCCTGGCGTCTTTTCCCAGGCCTGGAAAATGGGGGAGCCTGCCATCACCAAATTTAACCTGGATTAAGGAGCCCAAATACACAGTGTTTGGTTTCTGAAATCTTTTAACACCTGAGAATTTCTGTTCTTACTGCACAGCAAGATCTTAAGGCACTGAATAGCTTTTTTGCTCAAAAAAGTGTTTTTCTTGGGGCCCGCAGCTGGTGTAGTTAAGGTGCTGGATTTCCACATGGCCAACCGTGGCTTAAGTCCTGGACCTGGTGGCTCGACAATCATGCTGGTGCGTGTGCACATGTGCTCCACATCTCAGGAGGGGGATGGGGGAGAGGGGACTGCGGCATGGCCATTCCCCTGAGGGGCAATTTCTCACTTTCCCCCTCTTTGCCTCTCTGTCTCGTGCATGGGATTTATGGCAAAAACCTTAAAAAAAAGAGATAGGCACCCCCATGAGGGTTTCTGTGTTACGTCTACTCTGCCTTCAGCCAGCTCCAATCACAGGCACATGTGCGTGGTGTGTTCAGGGAGGTCCCTGGACGTGAACCTGGGACCATCCCAGGCTCAGCCTAGCGGAGTGCTGTGTTACTGCTCCACTGTAAGGCCCGAGCCTAGTTCGTATGAAACAGTGAGAAAGGCAAGAACAGGAGTCCACAAGAAGAATGTGAAGGAGGGAGTAGCCCTACCGAATGTTAAAACGTATCTCAGAAATGAGACAGGTTTGTTTTAATGTTGGAGGGTGTTCGTGCTCGCCAGGGTGATGAGGGAGGAGGCCTCCCCAGTGGGGTGTGGTCACACCACAGTCCTCCGCCATCGCTCTAGTCCGTAGGATTTTGAGCACTCATGCACGTGTGCCCAGTGCGTGTGTTTCATCACAAGGGCCTGATGCGAACCGCAGTCAGCCAGGTGCGATTCCGCTCCGCGTGTGCAGTGCACCTGGCCACGAGCCGGCTGTGGGAAGTTACTTCGTGTGTTGCTTTTGCACAGCTGTGTCGAGTAGGACTGACCCAGGATGGAGAGCTCGTGCTGTTCACAGACGGCCAGTTTGACCCGGGGGCAGCTGACAGGGCCCTCCCTGGTGTCCTCTGTGCTTGGATACCCCACGCCCCTCCCTCGCTGCCACGGTCTGCTTTCCTCTCTGAAGGTCAAGGCCGCCGGCTCCTCCTGGCTGTCCAGGCACAGCAGGCGTAGCATGAACGAGGCGCAGTCACTCCGGGGATTCGTTTTAGCATAAGAGGAGGCTTTGCCGGGGCAGCGGGAGCAGGACGCCCAGAAGTGTGGCAGTCACACTTCTGTCAGGACAGAGAAAGCGCCCGAGCTGGCTGTGCGCCTTGTCTCTCCCCACCGTGCGCTCTTACCATGGCTCGCCCCTCACCGCCGTGCGCCCCCCTCTTGCCTCACCCCTCACCGCCGTGGGCCCCCCTCGCCCCTCATCGCCGTGCGCCCCCTCGCCCCTCACCGCCGTGCGCCCGCCTCGCCCCTCACCACCGTGGCCGCCCTCCCCACCCTGTGCTCACCTGCTCACCTCGCCCCCACCACCTTCTTCCAGGCAGATGAAAGATTTGCCGGGGAGAGGTGGAACCACAGGTTACTAGAGGAAACCGCAGAGACCTTTTTATAGCGTGTGTTGAGGAAGGCTTTTCTATTTGTTTGCAAACCCAGAAGCTCCTTGTAGGAAGAGGTTCAGAGACCTGAAACATGGCTAAATATAAAATGAAAACTTTACGCACTGGGAAACCACCATACAGTCGGAAACTGAAAAAACTTGAAATTGGTATCAGAGATAAAGGTGGATCTCTTCTACATGAAAATATTTCCTACAAATCAGCAAGAAAAGGACCTGCGACCCCATGGAAAGTGGCCGCGGGGAAAGTGAGAAATCGCTCCCCAGGGTGGGTGGTCACGCCTCAGTCCCTTCTCTGGTTCCTCCACACGCACACGTGCCCAGTGTCTCAAGCCACCAGGTCCAGGACTCGAACCGCTGTTGGCCGTTTGGGAGTCCAGCAACAGAACTGCTACACCGTTTGCTGGCCCCAAGATTCCTCCTCAATGACTGCTGGCCTGGTTTCTGCCCCTGAGGGTTAAGAGAGGGAGGAACTCCTATTTTTCTCCCTGCCACTGACTGGGCTGACGCTGCTCTTGGCTCAGAAGTGGAGGCTCTTCTTCTCTTTCGGTCTTTTTTACTGGGCAGTGGGAACCGCGATGCCGTTCACACCTTTCTTCTGCTCTGGCCGTAAGCAAGGTCAGCCAGCGAGCTCCTGCCTGGTAGACCCCTACGTCAAAACCCCATGAGAGTGGCAGAGCCGCACTGGGGCTAAGCACCGGCAGGTCTGCCCGAGTGGCCCCGAGGTGACCGCTCTGGGCGTCGTGTGATGGCTTCCCTGTGTTCAGGGCTCTAGGCATCTTTCAGTGGCTTTCTCGCGTCTGTGTCCAGGTTGCCGGGCATCCTGTGGTGGCCTCCCTGTGTCCAGGTCTCCAGGCGTCCGCTGGTGACCTGTGTCTGGTTCTCCAGGCATCCTGCGGTGGCCTCCCCATGTCCGGGTCTCCATGCATCCCACAGCAGCCTCCCCGTGTCCGGGTCCGGGTCTCCATGCGTCTCGCGGCGGCCTCCCCGTGTCTGGTTCTCCGTGCAGCAGCCTCCCTGTGTGCGTGTCCAGGTCTCCGCGCGTCCCGCGGCGGCCTCCCCATGTCCATGTCCGGGTTTCTGTGCCGCCCACGGTGGCCTCCCTGGGTCCAGGTCTCTGTGTGTCCCGCGGCAGCCTCCCCGTGTCCGTGTCCGGATCTCCATGCATCCCATGGTGGCCTCCCCATGTCCAGGTCTCCATGCGTCCCGCAGTGGCCTCCCCATGTCCTGGTCTCCATGTGTCCCGCTGCAGCCTCCCCGTGTCCAGGTCTCTGTGTGTCCCGCGGCAGCCTCCCTGTGTCTGTGTCCGGATCTGTGCATCCTGTGGTGGCCTCCCCGTGTCCGGGTCTCCATGCATCCCACGGTGGCCTCCCCGTGTCCGGGTCTCCGGGCACACGCTCCCTCCTCAGTAACGGGCTGCTCTCATCCCCTGCAGATGAACGTGACCCCCGCTGCCCTTGCCAGTCTTTACGAGGAAGGTTTTAAGCAAGACATGGCCGCCTTGAAGGTAGCGCGTGTGTTCCCCTTTCCTGCTGTGAGGATGCCGTGGCGAGGGGAGGTGGCCAGCGGACTCGCAGGGTGGACGCCCTGCCACGTCTGTGCCCCTTCTAGGTGCTTCCGCCCACCGTGTACATGAGGGTGACGGAGAATATCCCTCAGATAGTGTCTTTCATCAGCGGGATCATCGCTCGTGGGTATGCTTACTCCACAGCACAAGGTAGGTGGACACGGCAGGGACGCGGTGGGGTTCGAGGCAGGGACCGGTGCTGTGGCCGCCAGGAAGCGCGACACGTTCTCCCCAGTCCTGGGTATCCTGCGGCACACGTGTTGGGGGTTTCCTACGCATCGTGTCGGGGAACGAGTCAGCGCTCGCAGGATCGCCCCTGCACGGCACAGGAGAGATGAGCACCCGCAGAGCTCATCGGGGCCACGGTCCAGCGTGGGTGGGCATTCTGCGGCCGGCATGGAGCTCGGCCAGTCACTGCTCCCTCATGGAAGCAGGCCTGCAGCCCGGATTGCTCAGTGGGAGCGATGCACAGCCGAATCACTATGTGAAAGGAGCCTGTGTGTGGGCAGACCGAGAGTGGCTGGTCGCATGTGAATTCCTGTGTGAAATTCGCCCAGATTGCTCCTAAGCCCACCCCTTGCCCACCATGATGCCTTGAGGGCATACACTGCCCATGGTCCTGTCTTCCCTGGCTCCCTGTGGGCCGCAGTCTCCCACTGTTCGCCTCTATGTGGACTTCCCGGCACTGTCAAGACCCTCCTGTGTTCCGAAGGCACACAGTCCTTGCCCTCAGGAGTGAGCGGTGCTTCTTTCGGCCTAGAGGCGAGGGCGAGGCTGGCTTCCTGGCTTCCTGGCATCCTGCTGCACGTGCCAGCGAGCCTTGACTCCTGCCAGAGCCCCTCTCTGCAAACGCTAACCAAAGTCTGGTGTCCCTAGACGTCCCCTGTCCAGTCAGGGTCTTGGCTTGGGCATTGAGCTGTGTGGTTGGGTTGACACCCCATGCTGCTCTCTCTGCTGTCCGCTTGCTCTGGTTGGGTAACCAGCCCGCTCATTGGCGTGCCTCGCTGGCCCATGGGAGGGATGGCATGGCCCCGGCTGCAGCTTGTGGGGCTGGGGCTGCTGGAACTCCCATGAGGCCCGCCTAAGCCTCCGCCTGTGCCCTAGCCACACGGCAGTGCAGACAGCGCTGTCTGCTTCACCGAATCTGTACGTTAAGACCTCGTTTCCAGAATCTGCAGTGTACTGGAGCCTGCTCCGGAAAACAGGAATTGCTAGAAATGAGGCAGGCGAGCTGCTCTTCCGCTTAGGAGGAGTCCTGGGCATGTGCGTGGGCCATGGGGCTCTCACTCTAACGTGCTTCAGGGACAAATACCGTCTTTTATTGTAAAGCTTCATTTTTTTAAATTAGCTACAGGGCCGGGACCAGCAGTTAGCGTAATGGCTATGTCACTGGACTCCCACGTAGTTGACCATGGTTCGAGTCCCGGACCTGGTGGCTTAAACTCACGCCGGGCGCGTGTGCGTGCGTGCCCAAGATCCCAAGAGGAGAACAGAGGAGAAGGGATTGCGGTGTGACCATCCTCCCTGGGGGGTGATTTCTCGCTTTCTATCTGTCTCTCTGTCTCTCTGTCTGTCTGGCGAGCGCACGCACCCTATAGCAAAAACCTCTCCAAAAAAATAAATAAAATTAGCTATAGGGCATGTGCACTTGCTAGACAGAGACAGAGAAGCCACTCCGGAGCTATGCCCACACTGTAGTCCCTTCTCCGTTCTTCTCCTGGAGGGGGCGCACAGAGCACATGAGCCCCATGTATTTTTTTCAAGCCACTGATGCAGTCAGAGACAGAGAGACAGAAAGCGAGCAATC